ACCGATTTGTCTCTAAATGCCAGGCTTCCAGGGAATCCTCTAGTATTTCTGGACTTGGCTTGGTCTAGGATGCTCATAATTTCCCAATTTCCCAAGCTATGGTTAAGTCTGTCTGTATGTTGTGAAACTAAGGAGTCTGCATCATGTTTTCTGACCCTTAGTTGGTGTTCCTGGATGCACATTGATAATTTTCTGCCCCTTTGTCCTACACAGTTGCTGTTATAATCTTTACACCTTATCTTGTAAACAAGTTCTATTTTTTCTTCTATTGGTGGAATATCTATTATTATGCAACTACAGCAGAAAAAAGAAATGCACAGAGTTTGCAACAACTAAGGGACAACACTAATATCCTTCGTTGGACATGATCTAGCACTATTCTTTTAACTGTAAAACTGTAGTTCGGCATTCTGGATAATTTAATTGATATTAGATTCTCTATTTTTAGTATAATTCCACTGTCAATTTGCCAGTGATGTAAAAAAAAAAATCAGTCACACCCTTTCCTGATCTGGTAGACTTTTCAACTTCCTGGTACTGGAAACAAGTTATTTTGAATGCTAACAGGATGCAATATGGTAACAACTTTTTGTTTGCCAAATTGAAAGAAAGACAGTGATTGAAGGCATGGCAACAAAAGTTGTGTAACTCAGATTAACTTTACAATACACTGGATCATTGCACAAACCTATAATACAATATAGGAAGCCTAATCCATTTTGGTGGTTTGTTTTTGATGCAAAGTGGACTTAAGGCACAGGAACCCGAGGTTTCCGTATAGAATCTGGATGGTTTGCTACAACCATCTACTTCTGTCCTTAGAGAACAGTCATATTGAAACTGAAAAACCCAAAGTCCAAAGCCCATAGTCACAAACTGGTTGACGTTAATGATTTGACATCTTTGAACGCATATCTGCAGAAGCACTTTCCATTTAAGGTAACAGTGTCCTGGTAGGATCTTGTGGATACTGATTAACCTTTTGTTAAATATTATTTATTTATTAATATTATATATTATTTATGTATTTTACCTGTGAATCCCTTGGGCTGCAAGGCGATCCAACTGGTCAGTCCTAGAGGAGATCAATGCTGACTGTTCTTTTGAAGGCCAGATCCTGAAGAGGAAACTCAAATACTTTGGCCACCTAATGGGAAGGAAGGACTCCCTGGAGAAGAGCCTAATGCTGGGAAAGACTGAAGGCAAAAGAAGAAGGGGACGACAGAGAATGAGGTGGCTGGATGGAGTCACCAAAGCAGTTGACGTGAGACTCAAGAGGATGGTAGAGGACAGGAAGGCCTGGAGGAGCATTATCCACGGGGTTGCGATGGATCTGACACAACTTCGCAACTAACAGCAGCAAAATATTATTTCATATTTCTGCCTGCCCAAGCTCTAATCTTGCCAAACAGTTATGGCATATGTCTGAAAAGCCCCATTGAAAATTGTCTACAATATCATGATTATCAGAGACATTGTGGATAGACACAGTGGTGGACAACTCATAGCTGACCTGCCTGTTTATGATAATTTTTTTCTGGGGAAAGATAGCACCAATGCCAGAGGAGCCAATCAAAAAGAATTTTATCAGAACCACTGACATAGGAATCATTTGATATCTGCTAAGGCTCATAGACCCTTACAATCACTGCCAGCTCCTGGAGACTTCTGGCAATTTGTTTGTGAATTAGCATAATTTGAAGCTAGAAGAAACAACAACTGCCTTCTTCTCATTCTCTTCTATGGTTATTCTGATTGTGCGGAAAGAGTATAATCTAAACAACGAAGCAGCAGGCAGGGAAGGATGGGTCTCCTGAGTGTAGATCGACCAACAATCTCCAAAATTTGCAACTGAGCTTATTTCTAGTATCTACTATTTCATAATCAGAATAATTATTTCTATTGAAATATTCATTATTGAGCCCAACCCCATGATGGATATTTCTGTACAAACAATCCATTGGCAATAAGTATATTTCTATAAAGTTATTCTTGAGTTTTTTGGATTCAAAAAGCCTAGATAACAAAAGCCGGATGCTGTCCTAGCATACTTAAATAATTTCATCTGTAAAGGCACCCATCACTCACTACAACAAGGATGGACATTCTTGGTTGTGTCCAAGGTTTGGCCACAATGTAATAATGGGCAATGTCCATCCATAGAAGGCCAATCTGTGGGAACAATGTCTCTTACATGCTGCGACTTGAACTCAACTGAAAGCAACGCAGGAAATCTACATAGTCGTTGGAAATGAAGAAACATGTGTGTGTCATCCTCATTGCCAAACAGATGAAACATTGAGCAAGTCTGAGAGGAAGATAACTTGCTACAAAAAGCTATGGGATAGTACATGCTGTATACTTTATCCCTAACTGGAATGAGACAGGCGATCAAATATATTTAAACGTGTGTCAATGTAAAAGTTGATGTTTCCGATCCAAGGAGCTACGGGATCAGCACTGATGAGTATGACGTGCGAAAGTGAACGGAGTTTGGATTTGCTTTTAAATTATTTACATACTGTGAGAATGTATGTAGTATGTGAAACTGAATTTGAATTCTGAATCATCGAAGGCTCAATCCGATCACAGTAGACTTGTTCACCCTGGGCATTTTGGCAGTTGTAAATTGCCTCATGAGAGCAACTTTGGTGTGGTGGTTAAAATATCAGCCCAGAACTCGGAGACCATGAGTTCTAGTTCTGCTTGAAGCACAAAGGCAGCTGGGTGACCTTTGGCCAGTCACTCTCTCTGAGCCCTAGAAAGGAGACAATGGCAAACCATCTTTGAAAAACCTTACCAGGAAAACTTCAGGGACTTTCCCAGGCAGTCTCCCAGAATCGTTCACAATTGAACAGAAGAGGGGAAAAATAAACCACATGCTTGTTTATCTAAAGATTATTTGCACAGAAAACTATGATGTCTGCTACATGATGTATAAAATAACAAAATGGGTATAATGCAGTTGCCTGGATTCAGCTTGATAGAAAGCCAGGAATGGCCCTATCCTTAGGCAAAAAGAAGGAAGTCACCTCAGATGGCATTTTACTTAGAGGAAAGGACTGTGCTCTCTATGCTATCTTAATTACTTCTGGCACGTTCTATCACTAATGTTACACACACACACACACATCACATGGTCCTTCCATTGAACTTTTTGCACATATGAATGGGACCAGTGATTTGTCACGGCGGGAAACAGAGGTGTGACCCAGCCCTGTTTCAAGGCAGCTTTATCAGGTCCTTTTCATCTTTATATATAAAAGCAAAATACCACTCATGCATCCTCATGAAATCTCCAGAACCATAAAGCCTACAAACTTGAAATTTGGCATGTACAGTATGTTCCTCTTGGCTTCTAGGTGCTCATTAAGAAAGAATTTTTTGAAATGACCATCAGATCATTAGTATTTCTTATAGTATTGTTAACACACTCTGGAGCTAAGGAGTTAGACGTTCTACTCCCCCTCCCCACATGAAAAGAACTCTGTTCCAACTGCCACTTGGATGTGGCCCGATCACATAGTTTTGTAGCGGAGCACGAGTATTCAGCTAGTTATGAAATAAAAACTGAGTTAGATTTTTTTCCTTTTCAAAATATATACAGGTTAGGGTTCCATTTCTCCTCTCTATTATACATGAACAACCAATCCCTTCTTTTAGGGCTGCACAGGTAAAGATCCCAGGACTAAAAGCAGCCATTTAAAAATTTGGCTCCCTTGCTTGGAAGAAAGTTAGGTTCTCTGCCTTGTTGAAGAATCCCCCAACTTCCTGACAACCATGAATGAGACATAAAAGATCCAACTTTAAAAAGGACAAGGCAGATAGGCAGGTCTTGTTTTGTGACAGCAACTACTGATGACTTTGTTACACAGAATACTTTTCACGCTTCTGCTGTCACAAAGCATCAAACATAAGTGTGCAAAGGTTGATAGCAGATTATGAACACCTCGGTTATGATTCCATTAGAAAAGCGTAGAATCTATACAAGAAGACAACAAGCCAAGGGCATCCTTGAAACAACAGGATTTCAATTCCAAGCCATTTATCACCTGTTCCGATGCAATCTACCCTAAAGTCTCAGCTCATTAGGATGCCACATTTCACAGATCCCACTAAGGAAAGGCTTGGAATCCATAGCCAATTTGGTTTTGTGCATGTCAGGGCCCATGTTATGAGATCAATTGCAACTGAAGTCAGCTGCTTCGTTGCTATATTTTATTTCTCCATGCCTTTTAATTATATATATTTTTATTTTAAATTTTAAATAAAATTAATCTAATTTTATTTAATTAGATCCCCCCCCTGAAGGTTTATGTCTATAATACTTTAAATGTGTCATAGATGTTTTATTATATAGCTGTCATGATTTGGCTTTTCTCCCATGCATTGAGCCAGGAATGTAATTTCTTTTATTCTGTTAGCAATAGGAATGCTTGTTATCAATGAAGGAATGTGTGAATGCCAACTCCAATTGTGCAGGAGGTAGGTGGCTTGTAATGCTCCCAGTCAAAGAAAAGCTTGCTGCCCAGGGGTTTATGCTAGAGAGGTGTATAGGATGGGGTTGAATGTGGTCCCCTCCTATGAGATGGGTAAATGGCCAGCTGCCTCCCTTGTCAGAGGTTGGTTGGGGAATAGACAAGTAAGGCTTCCCTTAGCTGCTTCTCTCAAACGTCTTGGCTCTGCCTTCCAAAGGCACACCCTGATGAGATTCAGGTGCCATCGCTCTGCCAAAATGCGTGATTCTGAGTCTGGAATATGCAGAGAGCTACCATCTCCTCTAACTTTCAGATAACAAAGTATATTGGATTGGCCTTGGTGACTTGTCAGAGGTGGAAAATCCCAGCATGAAGCTTGTCATTTCATTACAACCCCACCCCTACCCCCTGCTTCTTCACTCATATTATTTAAACTATGCCAATGTAACTACCGTGAGCAAGTACAAAGAAGTCCATGCAGAGATCCTGTTCTGTTCCGAAAAAAAACTAAAAGGGACTTACCTCCATTCGTGGCTTATACATTAATCCCACTAGCAGATTATGGGGAATGAGGAGCTTTTCTTCTCATGTTTTTATCCTGGAAGTCCAGATTATCTCAGTGTGGCTTCTTCCGAAGTGTCCACTGTGATTATTTTTACTCTTCTGGAGAAAAAAGTTTCGGGAGAACACTTAAGATTATCATACTGCATTACGTCTACGGAAGGAGGAGCCCATTATATCACATGCAACAGAAGTGCTGGGAAATCCCAAAGGGCTTATGTGTGTGCGTGTGCAGTATATACATTCTGCAACTGTTTGAACTTATTTCTCAAGAGCAATAGCAGGAAACAGATGCCATGAGTGAGCATTGTAAGGTGTGGTCGGTCTCTCAGGTAAATGAGTCAGATTCATAAAACAGTTTAACCTAATTTCTGCTTCGTGGCTTATCCAGGCAACAGCCTGATCTCCCACCTAAGTGCATGTAAAAGAATTACAGAGGAAAATACCTGGTTGCAGAAAATGATTCTGTGAAATTTGCACTGTATTCTCTCGACTCTTATTTCATATTTGTATGGGCATGGATATGTTTGCCTTAAAAGGTAAAGGTAAAGGTTCCCCTTGCACAAATATGCTAGTTGCCCCTGGCTCTAGGGGGTGGTATTCATCTCTGTTTCAAAGCTGAAGAGCCAGCGCTGTCTGAAGACGTCTCCATGGTCATGTGGCCAGCATGACTAAATGCACGGAACGCTGTTACCTTCCCACAAAAGGTGGTTCCTATTTTTCTACTTGCATTTTTTACATGCTTTCAAACTACTAGACTGGCAGAAGCTGGGACAAGTAACGGGAGCTCACTCTGTTACGCGGTGCTAGGGATTTGAACTGCTGATCTAGCAGTAGCCTGCAGTGCTGCATTTAACCACTGCGCCACCTTGGCAAAGACAGATATCCTGCCCTGTTAAAAATATACCCTCCTAGGTTCTCCCTCAGCCATGATCCTCTAGGAAACCTT